CCCTTCTCCAGCACCACGGACCCCTCAGCGCCCTTCCTGTGCCCCAGGCTTTGCCCCCCAGGCACTCCCTGGAGAGGACGCTACGAAAGCCTGCCACCGCCTGGCGCACCCCAGGCCGGAATCCAGGCCCGGACTTCTGGAGCAGGGTGGCACCGTTGGGAACAAAGACTTGTTGCTGAGCCCGGGCTCGGGCTCCAGGCACCTCCCCAGGGTGCTGGAGGGGCTGGCGTGAAATGCTCGGCTTTTTGTTTGAGAAAGAACGGTGTTTCCCGAAGTCCCCAGCGTCCTCTCACCCTGGCCCCTGCGGTACTCACACACAGACGCCGAGGGGGACGGAGGTCAGGGCCGCGAGGCGGTCCCGTCTCGGGACAGCAGGAAGGGGCAGGGGCACAGAAGGAGGGCAGACACCGGGTCTCCGTGCTCCACGCCTGTGGCGTCTGCAGGGCCGGGCGGGAGAGGCAGGCCATGGGCCTGCTGGAACCCAGGAGCTACCACGGAGGAGGGGTGCGTGGGTTCAGGGAGCAGCTTCTGCCGGCGGGGAGGGGCACGACTGTATGGGTGTCTGCGGGACCGCTAGGGAGCTGGTGCTGGGGCGGGGGCCAGAGCAAGCGTCAGAGGACACACGTGGCCACAGGCCAGGCCTCTGTGCCTTGCCTGGGTCACCAGGGTAGACTCAGGCGGGTGCCAGCCGCCCTGGACACTCCTGGGGCGGAGTTGCTGAGGACAGAGGCTGGCGGTCCTGGCGGGGGACCGGCGACCTTCTTGACACGGCGATGGGGGACCTGGCAGGCAAGTGTGCCCGTGGCCCCATGCCACCCAGGGAGAAGGGCAGCAGGGGGCCCGGAGCGAGTGTCCCGTAGCAGGCTGGTTCACACCAGGAGAGGCAGTTGCGGATGGACACACTTCAAAAGCGTCAGACACTTCAGGGCACAGGAGTTTCGTGGGGACGCGACAGCTTCTCCGAAAAGCAAATGTTTTGGGCGGGTCTGGGCAGGGTTGTGCAAACGCAGACCCGCTGTGGGTCTGCCCCAGGAGCCCAGGCCCCGAGGGCTGAGGCCAGGGCTGAGGAGGTCCAGGCCTGGGGGCTGAGCTGGGGACCTGCGGGAGGCGGCAGGCCTTGGGGCGGACGGGAGAGCAGGCAGGAGGGCAGCCCCAGCTCTCGGGGCCTGGGAGCGGGTGGCACCGGCCAAGCGGGGACAGCAGAAGGGCATGGCCCTTCCGGGAAGAGAGAGACAGTCCCTGGTTCTGCCCACAGGAGAGGTCGGGCCCGCAGTGGAGGCAGGGGTCTGACCCGGGGGCCGCAGACAGGGCCAGGCCTGCTCTCACTGCTCTGGTGGTGGCTCGTCCATGCCAGGGCCAGAGACTGCCTCGGCGGGCCGCAGAGGGGCGGGAGTGGAGGCCCTGCCGGGCCTGGCTCCCACCTGCACCCCCCTCGCAGCTGGACTCTCAGCAGGCTTCCCACTCCGGGGGAGGAGACGGGGCCCAGGCGGTCTGGCTGGAATCCAGGCCCCGTCCGACGGCACCGAAGGCTCCCGTTGCAGCAGCCTGCCGAGGGGAGCCGGGACCGGCGACCCCAGGGGCTTCTCCTCGGACCCCGCGGCGAGGCCTCCGGGGAGGCGGGCTGCCAGTGCTCTAGTGCCGAAGGTTCCCCAGCCTGGAGCGTGCTCCCAGCTGGGTGTGGGGCTTCTGCCCCCTAGAGGTTGGCCTTGCGAAGGGCACCAGGGACCCAGGCCAGCCACCCTCCAGACACACCCAGGTGCGGGAGGAAGAGGGATGTGTCCCACCCACGCCGAGGCGTCCCCGGCCGGGCAGGGCGCGAAGGCCAGCACTGGCCTGGCGGCTCTGGGGTGAGGACCACAGGGAGCAGGCCCGCCTGGGGACAGAGTGGCAGGGGTCACGGCTGGGCTGCCGGGTGTGAAGCCGGGGCGGCAGGGGTGGCGAGACAGAGCTGGGTGGCCGCCGGTCACGAGTGGTGGTGCTGCTGTCTCAACCCAGAGACCCCGGGAGCAAGGCCGGACGCGAGCGTTGCCGGCAGGACAGGAGGGCCGGGGGCCCTG